CGGACGTGCTTACCGGCGTCGCTAATTATGAACAAGTTACCATCCACGAAACACATTCCTCAGGAGGGGGGAGGTCTATGACCTACCTAGTTGTCCGGCATGCGAGGGCATGCTCGGCCGTTCGGAGTCCCCCCTTTCTTGTCACCATTCTCTCGGTTAGCGTCTGAACTTGACGGGTGGCTTCCGGGGCGATCCCTGCTTCCGCTGGCGTTGGCGCTGTCTCTGTGCCTTCGTCATCGGCTCCTCGTCCTCGTCATGCTGCTGGCTCGTCCCCTCTCCCTGACTCATCGAATCGCTACGTTCGTTCTCAAATCGCCCCCGCTTCCTCGGCGGCTGGGACGCCTCGTGCTCTGGCTGTTCCTCGTCTACGTCCATGACTGTAAATTCGTCGTCTGCCTGGCTGCCATCGTTCGGATGGCCCGTTTCGGGTGGCTCGCTCGGTCCTGGCTCTGCTGCGCGGTCGGGTGTCTCCTCGTCGTCGCTTCTTGCGCCCTCGTCGCTGTCGTCGTTGTCTTGGCCGGCGCGGGCTTGACTAGTTTCGGTCCCCCTGTGCCCGAGCCGAAGTTCGAATCGTATTCGATCCATGAACCGCTGCGCCGCGAGCTGGTTCCGCCGTTCTCTCCTCGCGCGCGCCCGTTGGCTGCCCTGGCCCTGCTCAGGCTCCCCTCGCTCGTTGTGAAGAGCTGGGGGGCGCCACCCAAGAACCTCACAATGCGGATCGGCAAAGGCGCGACGCGTCGATTGACGATCTATGCTTTTGACCCATCAGTCTCCCAACATGACATGTGCATGCACATGGACATGGACATGTCCATGTCCATGTGCATGTCCATGTGTGACATGAGTTCGTCAAAGAACTCACTTCACGGCGGTCCGCACGCACGTGAGCCCCGCGGCGGCGCGGCGGACGTCCCGCAACGCCTCTCCACACTCCTCGGGAGCACACACACGGACATGAAGCGCGCACGCGGCCCAATGGCCGTGCACGAGCAGCAGCGCGAGCGCCGCTAACCGCACCGACACTTTTGACCGCGTGCCGCACTTCCCGAACCCCTTCACACCCCACTGACTGTCGCGCAATGTGCCGGCTCGTGTGCGGCTTCTGCCACGCCCACTCGAAAGCGAGCGCATCGCTTTTCGAGGAGAAGCCGCGCACAACGAGCAGAATGCGCCACGGCCGTCCCGCGGCGGGCGCGCCACCTCCCGAGAGCTCGCCGTTGTGCTGGCGCAGTCGTCGGACGGGGTCGGCTAGGGGTCGGGGCTCGCGCCGACGTAAGTCCTCCGACCGCTCTCGTCTCGCAGGAAGTAGACGCGCCACGCCGAATCCTACTCCTCCTTTTCCTCCTCCTCAGCCTCGTCGTCGACGAGCGCGTTGCCGTCTTGCTTGTCCTCCTCGTCGCTGTCGCCGTCCTCCGCGTCGAGATCCACCTCGGTGACCGTCGCGCCGAGCGTGCGGAGGAAGTCGGCGAGGGTGCCAGTCGAGGCGGTTTGGGCGGCGATGGGAAGCACCCAGGCTGTCTTGATGATGCTCTTCGGGCCCTCCGGGCCGGGGAAGACGAGGTCCACGTAGTCGACCGTGGGGAACTTGGCCTTGACGTAGTCCTTGACGTCGTACGTGTTCTTGCCCAGAAACGCGGTGCGCCTTCTTTTGTACCAGGCTAAGATTGAGAGCAGCGCTGCTCTCAATCCTAGAAGTCGAAGGATTGTGAGCAGCACTCCTCGCAATCGTAGCATCTCTCTGCGATTGTGAGCCCTTACGCTCGCAATCCTACATCTTCTAGGACTAAGAGCAGCTCCGCTCACAATGTGACTGGTGACGCCCACGACTACTACCACCGCCCACCCCAGTCCTACGACTTCTAGGATTGCGAGCGGGTCCCCTCACAATGGGTGCGATCACTGTTTGGATTGTGAGGAGACCCGCCCGGCGCGCTCACTCACAAGCGCTCGTGGCTGGAGCGATTGGGAGCGCCCTCTGTGCGCCTGCTACCAGTCCTTGCTTGGATCTTTGGTACGATTGTGAGCGCAGCCGCTCATAGTCATACAAGATGTAGGATTGCGAGCGCTCCTGCTCGCAAGCGGAGGCATGTTGCTAGGATTGTGAGCAGTGCTGCTCACAACCCTAGAGTTTGCTCGGATTGTGAGCGCGCTGGTAGTAGTCGTGGGCGTCACCAGTCACATTGGGAGCGGAGCTGCTCATAGTCCTAGAAGATGTAGGATTGCGAGCGTAAGGGCTCACAATCGCAGAGAGATGCTACGATTGCGAGGAGTGCTGCTCACAATCCTTCGACTTCAGGATTTGAGAGCGAGCTGCTCTCAATCCTAGCCTGGTACGAAAGAAGGTTCACCCGCAGTGCGCGTCGCAACAGGGGGAGGCCCGCGCCCTGCCCCCGTGCCGCCGGGTGCAACCTGTCCTACGCGAGGGAGCTCCCTGGGACCCTGTCGTGTGGGTGAACCCTGCCCAGCCCCCCTCCGTGTCGCGTTGCGTTCCCCACTCTATCTACATACACTCTCCCGTTTAATTCGTTGCGCGCGCGTTGCCTTGCTTGTTTGTCCCTGATCGTCCTTCCAAGATCCTTGCTCTGCAAGATGGGGGCCCTCTCCCATCCCTCGTTTGGCGTGACCGTTATCTTTCTTTGCTAGAAAAGATGGGACCCCTTGTCGCGTGTGGCGTGTAGTCAGCTGCCCCCTCTCCCGCGTGCGCGATGCGCCCTTCCCCCTCACCCTTGCAAAATCCTGCAAAGGTGGGGACGTCTGTCCTCGTCCCAGCCCTAGCCTGGGATGCAGCATGTCCGTTTACTTTCTTTCTTACTCAGCAAAAGGTGGGGACGTGTCTGTCCTTCCCCCAGCCACAGCCCTATAGCTTGTGGGCGGCCGCGACTTTCCTTTCTCATTGAGAGACGCCGCAGCCGGCGGCGTAGGAGAGGAGCGCGGTCGCGGACTCGTTGAGGGAGGGTGTACTGGTTAAGAGATAGTAAAGAGGAATTGAGTGAGCTCACATAGCTCACTCAGTCAGAGCATTGTAGCGCTCCACAGCGCTCTACAACTACATCTCTACAGCTGCTACAAGTGCTCCACACTCTGAACATCCTCTGGACCCTCCCTCCTCGAACCTCCCTCAGGGGTTGGCGACGAAAATGTTGCCCTTCAGCGCGAGAAGGTATTGGCCACACTGGGAGACGGGTTCCACCGCTGGCCGACCGCACTGACTTGCACACATCCTCGCTGCCAATTTGCCAAATATGTCGACTTCGTGAACGGCGTGTAATCAAACTTGTCACGAGCCCGGCCCGACCAAGCCGCCGACGCGCTCACCTTCCGTGTGATCGATATATGCCACCTCTCCTGCCGCCCAACCCAACCGAGACCGGGCTCGCCGCGCAACCACCCGTCATCACAGAGACGCGACGTCATCTCGTGGCCTACTGGATCTCGCCGTCGCCCCCGCCAGCGCCGATGGCGTACAGAGCGACACACCTTCCTTCCTGGCTCGGCTCACGCCCGCCGCCGCCCATGCCGCCACCACCCGTGCCACCCGCGCCGCCCATGCCACCCGCGTCGCCCCTTCCGTCTTCGC